GCAGTTATACTGCTAGCTAGGAAAGCCAAAATTGAACAGAGATAGCAAGGCCTTTTTCAGAATCAGTCCTCAAAGGCTTTAAACAGTCATTCACTATTTTGTTCACTTTCACCTCTTTTTTAAATAGGTTTCCTTTAAGCAATTAAATAATCTTGTGACCATTGTTTAGCATTTATAGCTGTACAAGTTAAAGAATATTATATGGGCATTCTCTGCTCAAGAATTTGGAGTTCCAACTGATTGCCTGTAGGGATTGGGATGGAATTTTCCCTCTTGTTTAGCACTGCACATTTGGAAAGGTATTCATTTGTTATACTCTAAGATAGGGCAGAGATTTGTTCTCTTTCTTCTGTCATGTCATGTCCTGGTCCCAGCTTGAGGCAGAATACCAAACTAGATTGGTCTGAGGTCTGGTTTGGCATGGCAATTCTTACATTCTTCCTTTTTTTCTGCAGGTAGTTTGAAATAACTTAAAAAGACTATGTACAACTATAGTTCTATACTTATAATTTAACACTCAGCTAAAATGTCTAAGCTAACCCACTCATTTTTTCTGCAAGGAGTAGCCATAACATTGTACCAAATTAAACTGCTAGATACAAATCCATTTAAAGATGGGTAGAAATGGGGGGAAAAAAAGAGCACTTCTCTTGTTTAATAGACAGCAGCACTATTCACTGAACTGCCTTGGGATATACACATGCAACATGATTGTTCTTTTAATAACCAGCAGACATTATGGGAATCCTCACATAGCTAATTGAATAATGGCTGCTGGCTATTAAAAGTTCATCTTTTCCCCTCCACTCAGCAATGACTATGCCATGTATTCTTTTTATTTTTTCAAACTTCAAGTCTTAGAAGTTCTTAAAAGGCAAAGATTTTTTCTTTGTTTTCCTAGCACAGTTTGGGCACTATGCATTATCAAGAAAATATTTTTTTTTAACTGAAGAACATAATATCTGCCACTACTAGCTAATTTGAAATATTTTCTATACCTTTTGAAATCACCTAATCTGCAAGAAAACAAAATATTATTGTTTTTATGTGAAAGATTTGATTCTCATTTTTATTACATTCTCTAACACTGAGGAACCATTCTGAGTTATGAGTCAAGTTCACTTGAGAGATGTTAGTTTCACATGTAATTCTAGCTTGGAAAAGAATACAGATACCATGGCCAGTAAAAGAGCCAAACAAGACTGTAAAATAAATTAGACTGAGAAAAGGAACATAGGAAGGATAGCTTTGGCCAATAGCAATAAATGAGAGAATAGCACAGGCAGTGACATCCAAAAAGTAGAAAGATATAAGTATAGTGAGACAAAACAATTAGACCTACCATAAAACTTAATGAAGTAACTCCTACAGACAGAATTTTGGATGACCACTACTGCAATCTTTTCATTTTAACAATGAATATTATAGTGATCAGCGATTTGTAAAGTTTCTTCTTTTTTGTAGCTAGCAGTGAAGATGAGTAGGGGGTGCATGGGGGTACACATGCACCCCCTGAGAGCACTGGTGCACCCCCTGACAGGCCGCACTCCTCATTTAGCTGACAGGCATGGGGGACAGGCAGGAAAGG